AGAGAGAGAGAGAGAGAGAGAGAGAGAGAGAGAGAGGATGGTGGGTGGTGGTGTTGGTGTCTGGGTAGGGGAGGGTGACGGTTGAAGCTATTGGGAAAAGGTTTCAGTTGTTGGTGGTTTGTTTTTCCTAAACAGTTTTGATAAAGTTATTTTCTTTTCATTTGTTGTTTTTGAACTAATCTATAAAACTGAGAATTATTTGAATTTTAAAAAGAAATTAAAATATTTATAACTGCTTTTTTATATTTATTTTAGATTTTAAAATGTTTTAATATCTAAAATACTAAAATACTCATGCCATGTCAGCAAGATAACGGTTTTATTGAGAAATTTGATGGAATGGGGCAATGCGAGACACACAATAATAGCACACCCATATTGACCCAGCCGTAAAGTCAGGAGGTAAACTGAGATTTTTAATAAAGCACAAGAAGCATATCAATAAGTAAGCCTAAATACTTCAAAAGGAAAGTCAGACTCCATAGAATGGAATGTTCATTCAATTGTTGAATATAAATAGCATTTATTAAGATTTTTCGTGAGGCTAATACGACAGTTGACAATCTTGCCAAGACTGTCACTTGGCGTATTTAAAGCCAAGTAGAATATCTATAGGACATTGTTCTATACTTGTATTTCGTTTAGCAACTTTCCTATGGATATTCTACTTTGCTTTAAATTTGATTTATGTAGTTATAATATCCCTAGAGGATCTTCCAACTAGACTTGGCCAATTGGTTCACTCACACGATTCTGCGGCCGTCAATATGACATCAATCACTTTCCAAAAATTTGAATTTTATGAGCACCTTCCCTTTGCAAAAAGACAACCTCCAGAGCAACTTTTTTCAACTTCCATCTAGAAGATTGCCTATATAAATTTGAGGTCAACACCGCACAAGAAATCCCTACAATCCATTTCCTATAAAATATATTTTTTCATTCGTAACGAAGATATTCAGTGGAGGTGAGCACTTAGTTTTTGTCTTTTGTCGGACCGCTGATGAACTTCATCCTATGAATATTTTGGCATTGCATTAGCCATTTTTACTTTTCTACGTCGGCAGTGAGATTCAAGCTTCCACTTTGGCTTATAGCAATTAGCGAAAAAGCAAACGTAGGACAGGCTGAGATCAACTTCAGCGCAATTAGTTTTAGGGAGACTTTAGAAAAACATAAAGGAGAGAAAAAATTTGTAAAAGAAGCCAAAATGAACAAAATTGCCCTTATTTATTTTTGGATTTCCTAAGAAATCTTTTACATTTGCATGTCTTTTATTTGAAAGTTGAGAGGTTTTTCTGTCTTTTTTGAAAAAGCTTTGGCTTTTTCCAAAAGTGAAATTTTTTTTGTTGCTAAAACCTAAATTTACTATTGTTAATGCGCAGCACCTGCTTGGTTTCAGGTAAAATTGCAACTTCCTTTATGGTATTAGAGTTGGTTATCCATGTGTCGAATTAAACAACCATACATGCTCTCACGTAAAGACGAAATTATAAATTTTTCAATGGATGGGTTAGCAAAAGTTATTAGCTTAAAATTTAAATAATATAAACCACATTAGTCTGCCAACGGGGTCTAGCCAAGTGAAAAAATACCTTTTATCTTGCAGACCGGTGGTCTTGGGTTTAAACCCTCCTTCTCCTTGTAGTTTAGATTATTGCTTGTTTTTTTTTTAATTTTTTTTTAAAGACACTCTAGTTCATAGTTCATAATTTCATTGACTAATTTCCAATAAGTTTTTTTCTTTTTTTATAAGCGAAATTGGGTGTGAAGGGGAAATCGAACTTGGAGACTTCAAGTGCAAGGATAAATGTTAATTTTCAATCAGCTTTAACATTAACAAATACATATCATCAAAATGAAAATATGTTCAATAACATACTTATTTTAATTTTTAATGTGTATGTTTATTGATGCCGTGCAACTAAATTCAAAAAGACTTAGAGACTTTTTTGGACTTTAATTAATAGGCTAGTACATATTGGGCTATTTTAGTTAGATATATATGTTTTATTTTTATTCTTATCCCCCAAACCTCTCTTGAAGTAATTCCACTCTTGCTCCCAGATCACCCAATATATATTGTCCATGTATTACACTTAAATGATACCACATATGAAGGTGCGTTTTGAGAGTAACCGTCATTATAATAGACTGCTTTGAAAATTTGATTGTTTTCCACATTTGACTTATCATTCGCGGCTGACTTTAATTTGTCCCCATCCAATTGTACAAGAGCATTATTTAATTTCAAAGATAAATTCGGCAGCTCATGTTTGACTAGGTCCCCACTTTAAAAAGTCAGCAATTTCAACTAGACAATACATAAACAGTACTTTTAGAAACTTCCTAAATGCGTATTTATAGAGTGTGTGTTCTGGACAGAACGGAACAAATTAACCACTTTGAGTTTCTGCCAATATGTTCTTCTCCAAATCAATCCCTCTCTTTTTCTTACTCTTCTGTCTTTTACACCATGCAGCGCTTGGTGCTTCACCACTTTTCCATTTTTGTTTCAGCAAAGAAAACTACACTGCCAATAGCCCATATGGTGCTAACTTGATTCAGCTGTTCAATCTTCTGTATACAAAAGTTCCTCCTACTGGATTTGGCCTTGGATCAACTGGTGAAGGCCAAAACCAAGCGAATGGGCTAGCCCTATGTCGTGGGGATGTCTCAAGCCAAGATTGCAAGACTTGTGTCGTTGAGGCAAGCAAAGAGCTTGGTGAGCGCTGCCCTAGTAGAAAAGGAGCCATAATATGGTACGACAACTGCCTGTTCAAGTACTCAAATGTGAATTTTGCTGGGAAAATTGATAAAAACAACAGGTTTTATATGTGGAATGTCCAAGAAGTAGATGATCCCACGCCATTCAATGCGAAAGTTAAGGAATTGTTAAGCGGGTTATCTACTAAAGCTTCTTCTAATCCAAAGTTTTATGCTACTGGTGAGCTAGAGCTCAGCTCATCAGAAACGCTATATGGTTTGACTCAATGCACAAGGGACCTCTCTAGTTCCGATTGTAATAAGTGTCTTGATGATGCAATAAGCGAATTACCAAATTGTTGTGATGCGAAACGAGGTGGGCGTGTTGTGGGTGGGAGTTGTAACTTTCGATATGAACTTTACCCCATTGTTCATCCTTAACTAGATTATATAGCTCTCAGTCGGTTATGACCATGCAGCAATATTAATTCAATAAGTTCAGAACATGTTTAGAAAACATGTTAATTGTTATAAATCTGAAATGTTTATTACATATTATGCTTACAAATAAATGAAGTGATATGCATGGGACTTCTATTGCCTAATTTATCAGCCTCAACCCTTTTCATTCTGATATATATTTGACCATCCACGTATACCATAAATTTATTATTCCGAAATTCTAGAGTTTAAAAAAAATGAGCAAAGGGGTAAGGATCGTTCCCTTCACTATCAAGGACTATGTTTGAGTCTCGTTGCCGACAATCCCTCTTGATGAGTAATTTGTAAAAACTGAAAAAGGGGCCAAGGCCCTCTGTAAGTCCTCAAAGAGGCCTTGGTTATGTCCTGATCCTGGGATGGGGTAGCCTCCCCTCCCTAAATTTTTGTTTATCCAAAAAAAAAAAAAAAGCGCAAAACTGGGATATCAAAATTAATGGCATGGTAAATAAAAATGTAAAGAAAAAAGGAGCGGGTATAATCAATACATTGATACAATCAGAAACAAAAGGAGATATTTAAGACTATTTAAGGATTAAAAAAAGTCCGTTTAAGGATTTTTTTTAAAAATTCCAATGGATTTAATTAGAATGTAATGATTTATAGGATTTTATTGATGGATTTGTATAATCAGGATTTTTAACTTTTGAATTTTAAAGATTATTTCATAAGATTTTATAAGATTTAAAAGGACTAGATGGATTTATATTATATGATTTATATTTGGGCATGACTAAATAGGGCATAGTCCAAACCAAAATTTGAAACTTTTTTAAATACCTAGACCGATAGATATAGTGAACCCATAATTTCATACCCTTAAAAAAAGAAGAAAAAGGAGTACAGGAGCCGGACAAAAAAGGTGTTTGCTCCCACGTTGTGGTTTGATATTGATGTGACATTTTATGAGGTTAGAAGGAAGCATTTCCTTGGGGGGAAATTTATGGGGCGTTTGATATCATATTCAAGTATGGAACTCAAAAACTTTAATTTTTCTTAAAAACAAGGAGTTCTCAAATCCATTTTTAAAGATTCAAAAACTTGTTTGGTATGCAACTTGAAAACTAAATCATATCTTGAAACATTCTCCTTCTTTATCAAAGATAGAGATTCCTTGTTATACATTCACATGCCCCCATGATGAATTAAAAGATTCCAATAACATATAAGGAAAATCTTTTACGACTTCCCTTTGCAAGCTATCAAAGATCAATAACGCATCACAAGACAACTATGATGCCTCAGGTCTAAGGACTAACTTAAATTATTGCAATTATGAGTTCTCATTTGACATGTAAAACTCCATAAGAGAACTCCAGTTGATCGCGTTCAGTGTACTCATTCACCAATAAGCACCCACATATTTAATGTCATCTCCACAAATATTTTGAGACTAACCATCCTCCTAATTGAGCATACATAATATGTGCTAATCTTGACGGTTTATCAGTGCCCATTTGATAATCATATGATTATGAACATTTGATATACTACAGTTAGAGATTAAAGTCTCCCCAATCTAATCTTCTTTAAATTACTTTATCTCTTATTTAGCATACCCTGGACATTTGTTTCTTTACATGATACAAAAGATAACCACTACTACATTTTACAATTTGTGCGACAAAGTGAATTTCGTCGCGCAAGGTACATTTTAGTTGCACAAATTTCAGCGCGACATAAACTTGATCGCGCAGAATCCGTCACGCAAAGATCGCGAAGAAAGACTTTGCGCGATGAAAAAATATTGGTTGCGCAAAGTTTTGTGCGACAAAAAACATTGGTTGCGCAAAATCTTAAAAAAATAATACTAATTCCCGAGTCCCATTTTTGTTACCCACCCAAATTTTTAGAATTTTGCGCGAGAAATATTAAGTATTTCTTATTATTTCTTTAATATTAATTTTTTTAAATTTAATTTAATGGTATGATATATATATATATAATATTCAAAAATGTACACATAAATTAACAAAGTACAATAATAAAATCCTAATACAAGCCTATTGTGGTGGTAGTGCCGGAGGATATGTTTTGATAGCTTCCTAATCCTCAACTTTAGCCGTCAAGGTCTCGATGATTCCCTACCAAAAAAAAAAAAAAAGGTCAAATAACAAAAAAATTAAATAATAAAAAATTGGCATAATCTCCCCTAAAATTGTTATATCACAAATCCAACCCAAACTCCAATCCTTACCCTATACTCAACCCCAAACCCCACACAAACTCAAAACTAACTCCAAAAACACATATTAATGAAATTTTTTTAAAATTTGGAGAGAATATACATTTTAGCAAGATTGAGAGTGAATGAGAATGAGAGGGAGAAGTGAGTGTGAGAGAATTAGAGAAGATAGTGAGAGAGAGATGAGAGAGTGAGTGAGAGTGAGAGATCGTGAAAAGAGAGATGAGAGAGTGAGAGATAGTGAAGCGAGAGATGAGAGATTAAGTGAGAGGAGTGAGTGTGAGAGAAAGGGTGGGATTTGGGGAGAGGGAAAGCGAGAGAAGAGGTAAGAGTAGAGAAAGACATTTAGAAAATGGTGGAGGAGTTATTTTGGTTTTAAAAACCGTATCACTTTGCGCGATGAAAAATATTGTTGGTCGCGCAAAGTTTTGTGCGACGAAAAATATTGGTCGCACAAAGCTTTGAGCGACGAATACTAGAATATTGGTCGGGTAAAGTCTTAAAAAAATTATAAAATAAAAATAAAAATTCCCGTGTCTCATTTTGGTACCCGCCCAAAATTTTGAATTTTTGCGCGACGAAAAATACATATTGGTCACGAAAAGTCTAAAAAAATTCACTACAACATTTTAGGATTTGTTCGTCGCGCAAAGATGATTTTAGTCGCACATAATTATGCGCGACAGAAGTTTCGTCGCACAAAGATCATGAAGAAAGACTTTGCGCAACGCCTGCATAACATTCGTCGCGCAAACAGTGCGACGTATAGTACCTTCGTTACAAAAAACATTTCGGAACGACCCAAATGTCCGAGGCACAAACTTTTGCACGACGAAAGGTTGTTCGTCGCACCAAATGCGCGGCGGAGACTTTCGTCGCGCGAGATACGTGAACTTTACGCGACGAAAAAATCTTCGTCGCGCAATTAGTCTTTACACGACAAAAGAGTCGTTGCGCATACGAATTTTGCGCGACGAAACTGTTCGTCGCGCATACACATTTTTCGCAACGAAAATATTCGTCGCGCATGATTAAATGAAGTGTATTAAAAATTTATTTTTCAACGGGTTTTTTTTTTAGTCGCGCAATTACTATTTGCGCGACGAAAGTCGTTGTCGCGCATACACATTTCGGTCAACGAAAGACTTCGTCGCGCATGATTAAATTAAGTGTATTTAATTTTGTAAAAAAAAAAAATTTGGTTTTTTTTAATTAAAATGAAATTGCAATAAAAAGATTAATCGTAAAGAAAACATTTATTATATAAAATAAAATAAATGTATACAAGAGAAATATTTTAAAAGTAATTATAAAAATAAAAAACTAATCAATTAATGTTCCAAAATCTACTTGGTTATCTGCCACATGCGGCTCGGAGGTCTGGGCGTCTGCAGGGGCCGAGGTCTGCTGGGGATGCTCAGGGTGGACGGGCTCGGAGGTCGACGCACCAAAATTCGGGATTGGAATGCCGGACCGCGCGAGGGACTACAGAATCACCGACATCTGACCCTCAAGCTCGGCAACCCGCGATGTCAAAACAGTCACCTGACTGTTTGCCTGCGACGATGACCGCGGTTGAGGTTCCCTCTGTCGGGCATTCCCCATCCCCCTACAATATGTTCCCGGCCTCCTCCTGAGAGTCTGATCCAACGTCTGCGTCAAAATCTGAAATCTAGCATCCTGCGGAGGATCCATAGACTCGATCGGAGTTTCGGGAGGAAGTTGGGAGGCAGACTCTTGAAGAACCAACTGGCTCCTCTCCACCAT